CGCTTTCTGGGCGATTTCTGGCTAATAAAATTTCTCAGCAATGAAGTGAAATTTTCTTTTCAATTTCCCGTACCATGAAAACACAGTCGATGGTGGTTTAATCCTGTGGTGCTGAACTTGACAAATATATGCATAATAATGCCAAGGTTGTGGACACCCTATAGGTTACAATTTTTATCCGATTTTGATGAAACTTGCAGTGTATGTTTATAACCGAAATATATTTGTTCTATTCAATATAGGATCTTCACAATCACATTTTAGCTTGTGGGCCCTGTAGATGTCACAGTTTTTATTTGATTGTAGAAATCGTTCAATTATATCAAAGTTGCACCATAATTACGGTAGAGTTCAAATTTAGTAAAAATCGGACATAAACTGCTCGACAAAATGACTGCTCCCCTTAAAAGCATGTAATACCTAGCTTAGATCTAAATATTAAGGCCACCTGCAGATTTCGTCAAGGTCACGAGATGTAGACCCTTTTAACATCTCGTGACCTTGACGAAATCTGCTCGTACGACCCTGACACGACCTTCGAGTACAACTTGTCAGATCTTCATGTAATGTAGGCCATCGAAAGTATAAAAAAAACCCAAACGAAATATAGATCTGTATTTTAATCAGATTTTCTGGATTATGGCCCCTGACTTTTACACAAAATGTTTGTGGACCTTTCACAATGAAAATTAAACTATGTGTTAAGGATGAAAAGTTCTTGGATGACTTCGACTTTGGTACGCATCTGTTGTAGCTGGAAACATTCTAACAATCTTTCTATTTACAATACAATGGCCAGTCATGTATTTGGCTAACAAATTACGACGATTAGAACAAACGACATTAACATATTTTACGCTATTATTTATTGAAGATATTCTAAGTTTCATAGGATTTTTGGCATCGAATTTAGTATGGCGAGGGTTTTGGAATTTACAAGACCAGTGTCTGTTAGTCAGTAATACAGAACTTAGTAATTGGGTGTCACATAGTGTAGCCGTCGTCATTCTAATGGTGGTGTTACATTATAATATGGTTATGCAAGCCGGTCTGTCCACAGATGGCGATATTATAAACAGCGAAGATACTACATTTTTTGAGACCAAATTTATAACAAATTTTATCCAACACAGCCGTGGAACAGTAAGTCATTTTGTTATATTTCCATAAATATAAACCCGTCGTCATTAGCCCACTCGGTGCAGAACAGTGAGACGTTAAAGTGGTGGACACACTAGCCGAATGATTCAGCGACTATGTGTTCAAACAATCGGGTGACAGCTTTTGGGGTCTAGATAGCCAGCGGCGCTTTCTGGGCGATTTCTGGCTAATAAAATTTCTCAGCAATGAAGTGAAATTTTCTTTTCAATTTCCCGTACCATGAAAACACAGTCGATGGTGGTTTAATCCTGTGGTGCTGAACTTGACAAATATATGCATAATAATGCCAAGGTTGTGGACACCCTATAGGTTACAATTTTTATCCGATTTTGATGAAACTTGCAGTGTATGTTTATAACCGAAATATCTTTGTTCCTTTCAATATAGGATCTTCACAATCACATTTTAGCTTGTGGGCCCTGTAGATGTCACAGTTTTTATTTGATTGTAGAAACCGTTCAATTATATCAAAGTTGCACCATAATTACGGTAGAGTTCAAATTTAGTAAAAATCGGACATAAACTGCTCGACAAAATGACTGCTCCCCTTAAAAGCATGTAATACCTAGCTTAGATCTAAATATTAAGGCCACCTGCAGATTTCGTCAAGGTCACGAGATGTAGACCCTTTTAACATCTCGTGACCTTGACGAAATCTGCTCGTACGACCCTGACACGACCTTCGAGTACAACTTGTCAGATCTTCATGTAATGTAGGCCATCGAAAGGATAAAAAAAACCAAACGAAATATAGATCTGTATTTTAATCAGATTTTCTGGATTATGGCCCCTGACTTTTACACAAAATGTTTGTGGACCTTTCACAATGAAAATTAAACTATGTGTTAAGGATGAAAAGTTCTTGGATGACTTCGACTTTGGTACGCATCAGAAAATGAAATGAAATGGGGTTTAACGTCCTACTGTTCTGCTCCGAACTGGGCTAATGAAGACGGGCATACGCCACACAGTATGCTATGAGGGAAATTTTGCCCGGACAGCGGCTCTACGACTTACTCTTACATCGAATTCAACCTGTTAAGTAATCTTTCACGTGCACGCCAATGTGTACACGAGGCCTCGATTGTTTGTCCCATCTGAACGACTAGACAGCTGTCCTTGTCTACCCCCGTCCTGCATCACTGACAAGGGGAAACCACGCCGGAAAATCTGGATGAACTTTCTCGGCCAATGCAGGGATCGAACACCCGACCTCCAGGCTAGCGCGCCAGCGTCTTACCCACTTACCACGTGATCCCCCAATACCTTTCTCCCTCGCTATATTTATTGTGGGTAATTGTGACTGTTAACCTGTTTAATGGTATAGAAATCGAGATATTTGCTTACAAACTTTTATTACATAAAAATGTAAATGGTTTCAATGCTGAGGGGAAATGACAGTTCTATGCCATCGTTTTTACCCGCATCCTTTTCTAGTGTAAAATGTCAGGCCAAATGTTTAACCAATGTGCATTTTCACAGTTCACTTATTCTGTCACTTTATTCTGTTTCTTCTATTTCAATAGGCAATTATAGGAGCAATCCATTAACCAGATTTCAAATTTCCTTAGCTGTTCATTTTATTTAAGATTTATATTAAATTGATATTTTACAGTATGACCTCGGTGTAGATCCACCCACAGTCGATGTGACACAGACCCCGGTACTTAAGATGGAGACAATTTCACTACCGATATGAATGATGTTATGCTAACAGAAACAAACGATGTGAACCTATCTATGAAATTTCAATTTCACCGATCTTTGTAAATACTGAATGGAATTGGGTAATATCTTTCACAATATTGTAGTTTGAAAACGATCCCGAGGGCGTTAAAATGGCGTATCTGAACTTTAAACTGTATGTAACAGACAGATCAAAAGAAACATTAACCCATTTATGTTGTGTCTTACATACTGGAGATAGGATGCCATGTTTTCACGACAAGATAACAACATCAATATTGATTGGAATTGACCAATATTGAATTATAATTCGTGTTACAAAACCTGGTAAAAAATGTAAACTGAAACTGGCCCTAAATAACATTCGCCATAAAAAAAAACCCGGAAAGACAGAGAAGGGCTATAAATAAAAGTAACTGCATCTGTGAATTTACCAATTGTGGGAAATTGTTAGAGCTCTGGGCTCGTTTCGGTGCAAACGGGGAGATAATTCCACGATACACAATCGCTTTAGGTACAAATAATTGCTATTGGAAAATAAAACGAGTTCACGATTGGACATAGGTTTTTCTCCCATCCGAAAGAATCGACGCTTTTTTTTGGCAGACCCTAGCTCCGTCATGCATTGTAAGAAGGGGGAAATTTTACCGGGAACGCAGCGCTACGGCGTACTCTTATATCCGATTCCAGCTGTCACGTGAATGTGTACACAGGACCTCGGATACGTCACATCCGACCGACTAGACAGCTGTCCTTGTCAGGCACCCCGTACTGCACCGCTGACAAAAAAAATCGCGCCGAAAATCCCGAGGAAAGTTCTTGGTTAACACCGGTGCCGAACTCGAGGCTATCGAGCCAGCCTCTTGCTCACTGACCGACCTCGGCACCCTGTATGGTATTATATCTGCATGTATGATGGTTGAATTTTAAATTTATTTGAGTCTTTTCCGCCAACTATAACTTCAACCCACGTTCTAGGTTAAAGTTGTGCTTATTATGACGTTATAGTAATTGCAAAGTCGACCAAAATATCTTGAAAAGGACACAGATAATGGCTTAAATTTTAAAATGCCGTGCTATTTTTGGTAGGGTTTATATATTAAGCTGTTAACCCTCACATATATTTTATGTTATGTACTTAATTATACAGGAATTGCTCGAAACCAATGTTTTAAATATAATAGAGGGGGGGGGGGTGGCCGAAAGGTTAGCGCGTGCGCGCTGTATCATAAGGTCTGTCATTGGTCGCCTGTCAAACCACGTGGTGGGGTTTCTCCGGGTCCTCCGGTTTCCTCCCACTGCAAATTCAATAAACATACGCAACTCAACATAAAAAATAAAAAAAACAAAACACGGTATCGATTTGTTCTCGAATATGTTAGCATATATACGTGCCTCGTATAGGACAGTCTTGGTTTTAGTGGATTTTAATTGTTGTCACACATTTTTGTTATTATCACTCATGCATTATCCCATAGACTTTGGGATTGTTAGTTTTCATATCTTTAAGACTTTAAAGGTGCATTATATAAGTACTAAATCTCCCTATTGGCCTCAAATGTTATATAAATTATTATTATGAATTAAACATACATGTATTAACATGACAAGACTATGAACGACTTTCTAGACCATGGAATGTTCGCGATTTTCAATAGATTGAAACGAAATTGCCATTTAATAATTTAATTTGAAAGTGGTTAATCGAGCCTTTGTTTACTATCGGGGGTTTGGATGGTCGAATGGTTAGCACCTGCGCGCTGTACCATAAGGCATGTCATTGCGTCAACTGGCGTGGTTTCGAATCCCCGGTTGTATGTAACAAGGTGTATGGTCGCCTGTCCAACCTCGTTGGTTTTCTCCGGGTCCTCCGGTTTCCTCCCACTGCTAAAGACCCCTACGCGCAAGCGAATTATTGAAATAAAATTAAACCATGTTAGTCGCGAAATGACCTAGTTTGTGTCGAGTGGACGTTAAACCCCATCTCTCTCCCTTGTTTACTATCATAACAACGGTAGCAATGGCAATCGAGACTCCGATATTCCCCAAACAGCCATATAATAACTTCGCGCAGAATGGAAATAATTTAACATTTTCAAGACATTTATTTTTCAATATCTATTTTACTCTATTATAGCGAGAACTGTCAGTTCTTTATCTACATCTTACATAAGGCATCTTTAACGTTCAGGGATGTGTTATTGGTCATATCCTCCGTAACCAACGAGTTCTCCTCTTCCACGTTGAACACCCCTTTCTTTCCAAGTTTTTTCGCTAATGTCTTCTTATTCTAAAAATCAAACATGTTGTTAAAAGACAAAGTTTAAAAATAATAATAACGATATATTTGTAAAATAAGGTACAGGATAACTGATGCCGGGTGAACATCGTGTAGCTACCGTTTTTTGTAACAATTTACGGTAATAAAATAGAGTAAAACAGTAAAAAAGCCAAAAAACATTTGAACAAGATACTTACTGCATCCACAGTATGGTGTAGAAAATTGGTGATAAATTTTGTATCAAAGAAGGTTTGTTCACCGCTGTGTATAACTTGCCCATCTTTTAACAACCCAGCTTGAATGAATATTTGGTAATGAAGAATTGCCATACCAATAACTACTGCTGCTCCGTGTGAAACCCAAAGACTTAATTCAGTATCATCTACAATCAGGCATTGGTCGTACAGGTTCCAACACCCACGCCATACCAGAACGGATGCCACCGTTCCGCAGAGAGTCATTGCATCTTCAATGACTAATAACGCAATAAATTTAACCTTTATGTGTGGTACACGTCGCATTTGTCCAGCTAAATACATGACTGGCCATTGTATAATCAACAGAAAGATTGTTAGAATATTCCCAGCTACAAGCGATAACCACGCTGATAGATAAACATCGTCTGGTGCCAGAAGTAAATCTATTAATGTCCACAGACCTCTCCATTGTGCTATCACAAATCCTACAATAAACACGACAGAGAAACAACTATCCATGTAAAACCGTAAAGTTGGACAAGGCTGAAAGAGAGATAAAAACTGTCAATGAGGAATCGCTGATTATTGCATCGATGTATGGTCAAATATGATTTAATTGTTGCTGTCATAATAGAACTAGTGAAATTGTCATGAATTCGACGAGATAGTAGCAGCTTATCTAAAAGGAAAACTTGGGATATTAACCAAACTTTATAAGGATGCCTTTCAGAAATCTGATTCCCGGAATTCTGAATACCCCTCGTGACCTCAATACTTCTCACCAAAATTTGAATGTTAGAAAAAAGTTTATAAGGATGTCTTTAAAAAATCTGATTTTGTCTGGTTCGGAAAGTCTCGGAAGGCTGAATATCGATAAAACTCAACCTCTCATGTCCCCAATGCCTCGCCCCAATGTTTTTAAAATTCAACCAATAAGAAAAAGTACAACTATTAGCCATACCTGTGTCTCAAACATGGTCGTGATTTTAAAATAATCTTCTCTTCCTAGATCTGAGATTGTGAATAATGGAGGTCCAGGAGAATTACATAGCCCCCTAGAAACCATCAGTACAGTGGTTGAAATCGCCGTCGTTAATCCTGCACTTCTCAGCGTTATTCCACTTAAATCCACAAACCCCCAAACACCTCTCCAGTAATTAACTACAGCAATGCTCAGAATATAAGAACACAGTCTTGAAACGATATAGAATACAGGAGAACTCATCTTCTTATTTAATAACGTCAATGGTTCTTGTAGAATTATCATCAATAGATAAATAAACAGTCCACAAGTCATTGATACAATCAAACTTAGGGTTGGATTCTCGGGAAGTATGTATAAATCTGCTAAGCCCCAAGTTCCTCTCCAGAACGACGATATTAAGGGCCCAAACAGTAGAATACTTATAAAAGAATCTAGAACTAGTACATACGTCTTCATCTGAAAAACAAATAAAACTATATTTTTATGGATGAAGGTGGTTTGGCCACTATATTTGCTGTTAATGGATACCTTTACGTTATAAACAAATATTACCACCGTGACTCAAAATATTCAATGAACGTTTATGCCAGAGATAGTTTAAAATCCCGTTTTCTAGAACAAATAAGCGTTGGTCAACATTAACTTCTTCGTTTCTCGGCGTGTTCAAGTAATTATGAGCTACGTTTTCTTTGTCATGATAACATTGAAGTGACGTTTATCGTGCAACACCCTTACCTTAAAGGAGATACAGGTGGTTAAGGGGACACCAGACCAAAGCGTTTCCTGTACTGGTACGTTTTAATCTTATAATACCTAGTCAAAGCTAACAATTGAATAGTTTATATGATCAACTGATAATAAAGTTATCACTCATTAAACATGTATTCAACAAAAATTGAAAGCGTGAATAATACACAAAAACAGTCGGATATTTTGGTATTAATTTCAAGCGACTTGCTGTAACTGAATGCGCCATTCATTAAGCGTGAACAGTATAATGCGAAATAAAGAATTATTACAGAAAAAAGTATGCAATATTATTTACACCAGAGTGTCCCGCATATCATATATCACCATTACGTTACGGAAGACTAACCATAATATTCTTTGTGGGCGGTATAGCTGATGGCCTAAAGACGAAATGAAATGAAATGGGGTTTAACGTCCTACTGTTTTGATCCGAACTGGGCTAATGAAGACGGGCATGCGCCATACAGTGTGCTATGAGGGAAATTTTGCCCGGACAGCGGCACTACGGCCTACTCTTATATCGAATTCCAACTGTCAAGGGATCTTTTACGTGCACGCCAATGTGTACACGGGACCTCGGTTTTTCGTCTCATCCGAATGACTAGACAGCTGCCCTTGTCAGGCCCTCCGTCCTGCATCACTGACAAGGGAAAACCATGCCGGAAAATCTGGATGAACTTTCTCGGCCAATGCAGGGATCGAACACCCGACCTCCAGGCTAACGAGCCAGCGCCTTACCCACTTAGCCACCGTGATCTCCGGCCTCAAGACGATGAACCCGGGTACGAAAGCACAACAAAAACGGTAAGCCAGATGACGGTGTTGGTTTTAAATGAAATGAAATGAAATGGGGTTTAACGTCCTACTGTTCTGCTCCTATACTGTGGGCTAATGAAGACGGGCATACGCCATACAGTGTGCTATGAGGCAAATTTTGCCCGGGCAGCGGCACTATCACCTACTCTTATATCGAATTCTAACTGCCAAGGGATCTTTTACGTGCATTCCAATGTATACACGGGACCTCGGTTTTTCGTCTCACCCGAAGGACTACACAGCTGTCCTTGTCAGGCCCTCCGTTCTGCACCACTGACAAGGGGAAACCACGTCGGAAAATCCCGGTGAACTTTCTCGGCCAATGCAGGGATCGAACATCCGACCTCCAGGCTAGCAAGCCAGCGTCTTACCCACTTAGCCACCGTGGCCCCCCATTGGTTTTAAAAAAAAAAGTAATCATACGATATCATTGATTACCTATAATATCCGATTCATTTCATGCCATACTTCACTAACCGGTATCAAAATTAGCTTATCTCATACGATATTGAAAGGGGTATATTGCATTTTTACACGGCCACATTTTCATGTGGACGTATATTGTCGTCGCCCCTGTCCGTCCGCCCACAATTGTTTGTGGACACCCTACAGGTCACAGTTTTTATCCGATTTCAAGAAAACTTGAAATATAGGTTTATCTCCCGAAGATCTCAGTTCCGTTCGATATTGGCATGTATCAAACCGAAACTTCATGGATTATGGCCCCTGATTGTATGAAAAATCGCGTTTTTAGCTTGTTGACCCTATAGAGGTCACAATTTTTTCTGATTTTGTTGAAATTTGAAATGTAAGTTTATAACCCGAAGATCTTTGTTCCTTTCAATATTCACGCATATCGGACAGTAACTTCCTGAATTATTGCCCCTGCCTGTACGAAAAATCACGTTGTTTAGCTATTGGACCCTATGGTGGTCACATATTTATTCCGATTTAAAAAACCGTTTGAATATATCACCGATACACCCTAATGATGGTTGAGTTTAAATTTCGTGAAAATCGGACCAAAACTGACAGAAAAAAATGGCCACCCTTCGTATAACGCAAATGGTGTAAATATGTGGTATATTAAGGTTGTAGACCCTCTAGAGGCCACGATTTTTTTTTCCGATTTTGATGCAACCTTAAATTTATGCTTATATCACAAAGGTCTTGGTTCCTTTCGATATTCGTGCATATCTGAGCGTAACTTCCTGAATTATGACCCTTTATCGTATGAAAAATTGTGTTTTAAGATTGTGGTCTCTCTAGAGTTAACAATTTTTAAGCAATTTAAAAAAATCGTTTGAATATATCACCGTTACACCCTAATGATGGTTGAGTTAGAATTTAGTGAAAATCGGACCAAAACTGCCGGATAAAATGGCCGCCCCTCTTACGCTAATATATATATGGTTTTTGAGGGTTGTGCATGTTTATAATCCAAAGATCTTGGCTCCTTTCGATATTCGCGCATATCGGATCGTAACTTCCTGAATTATGGCCCCTGATTGTATGAAAAATCGCGTTTTTAGCTTGGGTTCTCCAAGAGGTCTCAATTAATGTCTAATTTAAAAAAAAAGTTCGTATGTCACCGTTACGCCGTATTGTTGGTTGATTTCGAATTTCATGAAAATCGGACCAAAACTGCCGGACAAAATGCCCCCCCCCCCCCCAGTACGCAAATAGCGTAAACATCTGGTATATCAAGGCTGTGGAGCCTCTAGAGGTCACAATTTTGATGAAACGTGAAATGCATGTGTATAACCCAAAGATCTTGGTTGCTTTCGATATTCGCGCATATCAGATCGTAACTTCATATAACATCTAAGGTCACCTCCCAGATTCCCCGATAGAAAATGTAATCGCGAATACAGAGTCCCGCTCATTCCAACTGAAATGTCTAGCTGTGATAATCGAGTTGATAAGTTCATGGTTTGTTCAATTTCAAAGTTTCTGTAACTTTCCGCTTTTCAGCTATGATTATGCTATAACCCACTTCACATCTTAGTATAAACCTTTCTAATTACCTGCTTGAAAACGTTAAGAAAATAAGTAATTGTTCTTCCATAAGTATAGGACACAGCTCACCAAATATTTCTACGCCGTCTTTCTCTCCCTTTCCCTTTTGCCCCCTTTTGCATGGCGATTTTTGTTAACATTTTGGTGTCGAATGGAAGAAAAGGGTTTGAAAATACATTTTCTACCAGGTTTTGGTGAATATTCATGATTTTGAGGCGGAAGGATACAAGAGTTGAGAGGTTGGTTAGGTTGAAATGTAGGGTCCGAAATTGCAAGTTTTCTTGTCTCTACTTCCAGCTTGTGTATCTCAAGTTTTCCATGGTGAACCTCATACGTGCTTTTGGGCAAGAGGTTGCCACATGTTGCTCCATCTGTGGTAGAAAGCGTTCTACCCAACGAAAATTTGGGAAAAAGTTAGAGCCGGTCTAATAGACGAGAATTAACATTAAAGTCAATGGGCAAATGTTTAGTGATCTGTGGCCTGTCTATGTGTGACAGGCTGAGACTGATATGCCTTAGTTTTGAAAATATGAAGATTAAACTCTCAGAAAATATGAATAAAATATTTTGACTACTGAAAAACTAAAAAAAAGTTAAATTTAAAAAAAAAAAAATCAAAATTTGGAGAAAAATTGTGATTTTACTGCAAATTTCTCAATTTTCAGTTTTTATTTAATTTTTAATAGTAAGAAAAATATTTTAATGTCCAATTTTGGCTTATTCAACCTCAGATACAGTGAACAGTATTGTAATTTCACCAAATTTTGTCTAGAAATCAGGAATATTCAAAGAAAATCTTTGGATTCCCCCCGTTTCAATGTAGAAATCAATCCTTTCATGACTACTCAAATGAGTCAGAATGTCTAAAATGCATCTGATTTTCATTGCTAATATAACTTAGATAGGATCTGCAAGTTTATCAGGTTTAGAAATAGCCCCAGCTTTCCTACAGAAAATTGAAAATTGGTAAAACTGAGTTAATAATGTACAGCAGATGGGTTTGTACAAAATGTTCAAAACAGGGGTTGGCTCAATTTTGCTACTGTTTTACCCAGAACAAGCATTTTTTTCTTCTTTGTAACATTAAATTCTTGCATTTCCTTCACGTAGAAAGCAATATTCCAGTCTTTCTAGCCATTTTTAACTCCACCGTTTCCTTAGGAGAGGCTATAAATGCCCCATCCCACCCTTTTTTATTAATGTGTTTTGAGAGATTTAATTGCACCTGTGTTGACAATAAAATGATAGTAATTGGAATTTGTGGTTGAATTACAGCTAGCTAGGAATGTTGTTTTTCACTAATAAATAGCTAATTTGTACATTTCAAAAATTTCTAAGCCTTTTTGTTTAAAGTCAAAGTTAGAACCCAGAGACATGTCAGGCCAATAAGACCACACCCTAATATAAAACTGGTGTAGATGTGTAAATGTCAGCTTAATGTTCAATATTTTCTTATCAAAGTCTAGGATTTGTGGTGATTGTTGCATTTATGTTACTTATAGAACAGTTAAATGTTAATATTGCTCCTTTTCAGGCCTCCTTCATCTTGTCAACTCTGTCATAATTACTTTTTGGACTTCATTTTTTCAGGCAATTGATGTAAAGGTCCAGACATCTTGCTTCAGCACAAGAATTGCAATAAAGATTTGTATGGTGCCTCTGAGCCTTGAGATGTTGAAAACCTTGAAATTTTCCCAAATTTGTGAAAATTGTGTATTCTGTGACCCTTTTGTTACAGAGGGGTGGTCATACACCAAATATGGCAGTTTTTTCTTTCCCCAAGGCCTATTTTTAACCATAATTCATATTTATTGCACATATTTTAGTTTATATGTACATATGTTAGCCAGGGATGGTTACACATAGCTATTAGACAGATTGCTTTGATGATGTTACTTCTGCAACCAAAGATTAGATTCATTCAGTCAGTGACATATTTAGGGGGTGGCGATACATGTTTAAGTATAGATCTCTAATATTACAATCAATGCAGCTGATTTGTGATTTTTCTGTTTGTATATTGGCCAGGGTTTCTGAAAATATATCCCTTTTCGGTCTGGCTATCTAAAAAGTGGAAAATAATTGGGTTTTTTTTAAATTGCTACATGTAAATTTTGTACATTTTTCATGACATGGCAGTAAAAAAATTATATTTTTGAAAAAAAAATCCAGCTTATGAGTGTTTTCTGTGTAAT